GACACCTTTTATTGATGTCACGAATTCTATTATCCGGGCGTCCATTGCTGAGAAACGATTGATGATATCAGGCCATATAGAATTCATGCATCCGTCGCCAGACACCTTTTGTGATATCATGACATCCAGCTTCCAGGCATTATAATCTATAATCCAAACACTTCTGATATCAGGTCTTCCGGTATCCTGGTACCTTTGCTGATACCCGTATGTGCGCCCATAGTTGAAAACGTAAATGGATCTATACTGTAATCAACCGCACAAAATCTAGGATACCCCAGATGAACTTTGACCTAAACATTTACAATCAGCACTAGATGAGTGATACCGTAGACTAACACTTAGTCTCTGAATATTATTAATTTTGATAGAAACAACTTAATTACATTTAAGGGGCGGTGGGGTAGCCTAGTGGTTAAAGCGTCCGCTCATCACTCCGAAGACCCGGGTTCGATTCCCACATACTTTATTGTGTACACTGTGTGAAGCCCATTCCTGGTGCCCCCCTCCGTATTGCTGGAATATTGCTAAAAACGGCGTAAAACCATACTCAGTCAGTCAGTAATTACATTTAAATTGAAAAGGAGACCAAAATCTGAGGAAATCTAGACTTACTTCATTTAGGGCGTTTGCAATACAGAAAGGGCAGTGCGGGAGGGACAATCATATGGTTCAGGGACTGAAGTGTCGGAGCAGCCAGCTGTGCTGACAATACACATCTTCTAACAAACGCGAAACGCTGAACGAGTGTTGTGTATTCATCGAATGACTTTGGTCAGTCCCTGTATGCACATCATTGCCTTACTCAGTATAGAACAGGGGTGTTTGGGGTAGGCTAGCGGTTAAAGCGTTTTTCTTCACGCCGAAGACCCGGATTCGATTCCCCACATGGGTACAATGTGTGAAGCCCATTTTTGGTGTCCCCCGCCGTGATATGGCTGGAATATTGCTAAAAGCGGCGTAAAACTAAACTCAGTCAGTCAGTCAGTCTTCCCCTGGGCAATACAGGGCCGATCTTCATGCTTGTTATGTACATATAAAGGAGGAACTGTTTTAACGAACAATGGTATGTATTTTTTATCAAGCAAGTGACGGAAACTGTCAGCCAACAGGACGAATTTCATGTCCTGCAAAATCTGCCACAATACTTGTCTCAGTAAAGGCAATTAAAGACACTATATACAGTTGTTGAGGCCATTTTGCTTGATTAGTTTCTTCAGTGGTTTTCACATTTTTCATGGTCAAACTGGCCGTGATATTGCTGGGATATTGCTAACAGCGGCGTAAAACCATACTCATACTCGCACAGTACAGAACTAGACTTACGCCTAGTCTCTGAATATATTTTGATAGTAACTGATAAACCATTTATATTGAAAAGGAGCCACAGGGAGATCAGAGATTCAGAATCTGGGTAAATCTAGACTTGCTTCATTTAGGGCTTTGGCATTGCAGGGAGGGCTAGACAGTAGGGGAAAATAATGTGGTTCAGGGACTGTGAGACAGACTAAGTATAGAACATTAATATTCTGACACAATTACCGGGACTGATTCGTTCATACGTATAAACCCAGTAAAGTGCATGCTGACAAAACCGCTCACTCTGCAGAACCATGAATATAACGATTACCAACGTCTCTCCATTTTAACCGAGTAAGCACACACATCTGTTGCGCAAGAAAAAAAATACACAGCCTTTTGCCAAAGAAATTAACAAATGTTTACTGTCTAAATGAATGTTAATTTCTGGCATAAATACGCACAATGTAAACAAAGTTCAGAGATAAGTCAATAGGACAACCTTGGATGACGTCATTCAAGCATCCATGTGGTACTTAGGCAAGGCGCCATGCTCAGATACCGACAGTTTGCAAGTGGCTCTTTCCCTGTTACTGGATTCAGGAAGGAATTTAGAGTTTCAGGAATAAATATTTGTCCTGACTTCAAATGAGGATACATGTTAAGACTGGGGAATCTTTACTGCAGTGGTTCTGTCTGACATGGAAAAGGTTAATTGGGAACCACCCACAACGTTTTGTAGTCTACAAACGTTCTGAGTAGACACTGAATTGCTTCAGGTGATATGGCTACTATTTGTATAATTGTAAGCCTTGTCTTGAGTAAAATCAGGAAAGCTGTATCACCATAAGTTTGCAAGCCGGGGTAACTGAGACAGGTATTTGACACAATATTTGGTCTGCAGTAACGATGTACCAAATTTCATTACAATATTAATCAAAATAAAAGCGACAAAAACGTTTCCATATATATATATATTTATATGTAATCTCAGCTGAAAGAAGACTGAGTTGATTGGACATTATGACAAGCACGTGTTAATGAACCACCATAAACAGAGTTGATGCTCGATGTTTTCGAAAAAATGAGAGCATCCTGTCCCAAACACATGCAAGGGCATAACGGTACTTCATCTGAAAGTAAAATGGGAATACGGTGCAACTGAAAATATGGAATTTCATTGCAAATCATTCATGTCACTGTTTCATGTAATAGACCCGACACGTCGATATCTTAGTCTGTCTCATAGTCTCTGAACCACCTTATTTTTACTACAGCTTAATTAGTCCTCCCTGAATTCATGGAATTGCTAAAGCCCTAAATGAAGCAAGAGTAGATTTCCTCAATCTCCCAACTCACTGGGTCTCCCTTTCAATTTAAATGGGTTTATTTGCTATCAAAATTATATATATCTTCAGAGACTAAGCGTTAGTCTACTCGATATCTATACGCTCCTGGCGAGTATTTTAGTCTTCTACAATATATGCACATGAGTGGGTTACTAGACGTGCCTTTGTCGGTCAGCTATATTCCTCACCAGTGACTGTAACAATTGTTTCTTGGACATATTTGCTTCAGGGTCTGTACGACAGACTAGCAAAGTATTAGCTCGCAGCGTTATGGTACGATAGTACACCATCCGTCAGGTTTTACATCGCATTAATTCTATTTACAAAGATTGTTAAAATGGAAAGGGACCACTGTGATATTTGCTGCGTCCCTCCTCTGTCACATGTATACTTAATACCTAATACATACTCCAATCCCTTTCTCTCCCAAAAAAAAGAAATTGGGAGCTTTGCCCGGCCCATATATTCAATATATTAACTTTATCTGCATTTAATCTACCATTACGGGGAAGAATAAATTGTATCGTCCAGTCTTTGCAAGGGGCCTCAAGAATAATCGATCACAATTCACATACTATTTCACCCCAAAGACTCAAAAACTACTTACTGGCAATTATTGATAAATACTTAGTGTTTAGTTTAAAACAAACGTGTAAATATGTGTTGTGCGTTTATTGTATGTGTGTTCATAGTTTGGGTATCTTGCAGAATCTCTTGGTCACACCTTTAGGTACAATTCCAGGCTTGTACGGTCATTATCATGGATAACGGTTACGCGGCCCCCTCACTCTAGCCGTACATGTTATTCAACAGACCCAAATGAAGCAAGTCTAGATTTTCCACTTGTATATCTATAAACTTTACAGCTACTGACGTTGTTTGGGAATGGCATAGTCTGTCTCACAGTTCTGCCTAGCCCCCCTTTCAATGCTTAAATGAAGCAAGTCTAGATTTTCCACTTGTATATCTATTAGCTTGACAGCTAGGGGCGGTGTTTGGGAATGTCTCAGAAGAACCACCTGTTTGTTGACATTGATAAATGGGGAACGCTGGAACCTGCCACGTAGACTTATGGAACCCGTTTCAGTAGACTTGCACAAGTCTGTAAACTAAAAAATAATAAAAAGTTTATATGACACTGTCTAAAAATATAAATAAACGTAACACATTGTCCCTCTAGCAGACTGGCGCCATGTCCGCTTATCTTAACTTGCCCTTTCAAAAAAAAATAGAATTACCAAACACCCATTTGCTCAGCTCATTTATTCAGTACATCCTTGGATCAAGGCTACCGTTTCAGGTCCTCCCTAGATTGCCATTTAGCCCCAGATTCAACAATATATATACACTCTATGTAACTCTGAATAACCACGACTTGTCCCATCATTCTAGACCCTTTCTAATTTACTCTCAGTGGTCAGAGACAGGCTAGCTCTCCAATGCCTGTAACACTTGACGAAAGTGTCAAGTCAAGTGAGGCAGACAGCAAGCCGTGTCAAAGTATTAAAGTACGAGGCAGCTGTTCTCGGTTATGTCTCCATTGTTCTTGGTTCGTACATGCATACCATTTCATATTTTAGTGGTAACCCTTTAAATAAAAAAAAAAATCATGCATGGTACGTTTGTCACAATTCAAACCATCTGCCCCAGAAGATTGTTCAAAACATGGTGAGTCAGTGAGTGAGTCCAGCTGTATGGCGTTAGTCTGTAAATAAGTCTGGACCAGACAATCCAGTGATCAACAGTATGAGCATAGATCTGCGCAGTTTGGAACCGATGACATGTGTCATTATTACAGTCAACCAGGTCAGCGAGCCTGACCACCCGATCCCGTAAGTCGCCTCTTACAAGTATGGGTTACTGAAGGCCAATATTCAAACCCGGACCTTCACGGGTTCAAAACATGGTAATTGACGTTTTTAAGATCATTTCAAAATCCCTACCGGTTAATTTCCCTTACAAGCACTATATTGACGCAGCCTTTTTGAAACCTTGAGGTATTTAATCTGTTTATCAGCCCCAGATTTATTTCACCCTCTTTCATATCGGACACTTACACGTCACAATGTAACGTTTAGATAAATAAAATCGGTTTTTATCTTCATTTATCTTTTCAACCTTCCCGAAATCTAATTACCCTCAAAACGTATTCCCATGGCCTTATTGACATGTTGAGATATTCAAGTGGTGGTTTTTGTAAACAGTGTTGACCCTTGCGAACAGTTTACGCTGATATGAATCACAATGGCTGTAGATCGTGACTTTTGGAATGAAAGAACCAATTTATACCCTACCATGTGGATCTCGTCAACTTTATCTGCCTCGACAAGTCGGAAACCAAGAACGCGCAATTCAGCAGTATTAGAGAAACCTTCGGCAGTCACAGACGGTCACTGCGCGAAGCAGTCGCACGTGCGATGTTGCTGCACGTGTTTTGCGCTGCCGTTGTCGTCTGCTGCGGCGGCGCGAGCGAGCGCGAATTTCCGCCACCTGGCGAGAGGAAGGTGTCATGCTATCAGTCAGACGACTCATCCCATTCAGTGTACAATTTTACACTTAATGACCTCAACACGGGGACGCCAACGAGTCTGTCACAGTTCCGGTAAGTTACCTTACGATTTCAAAAATTCCGAACGAACTATTTTCGAAACGTACATTCCAATCTGTAAAGTCCAAGCAAAAATGAAAAACTTTTGCACATTACCCATATGGGCAATCGAACCCGGGCCTTCGGCGTGGCGAGCGCTTTACCCACTAGGCTATCCCACCGCCCCAACAGTTGGGGAAAGATAAGTAAGTGACTTGTTTTACGCCGCTTTTAGCAATGTCACGGCTGGGGACGCCAGAAATGAGCTTCACACGATATAATTTAATCTCACAGCCCCTGAACCGCATTATTTTCCCAACTGCCTAGCCAGCCAGCCCTAAATGAAGTCTAGATTTCCTCAATTTCTGAATCTCTCGTCTCCGTGGGGCTCCTTTTCAATTTAATTGGGTTTATTTGTTGCAATCAAAATCATATATATTCAGAGACTAAGTGTTAGTCTAGTTATAATCATGTGACGATAATGGAAATCGAGGGAGCTAACCATCATTTGGTGTGTCCAAAGCCGAGGGATATATTCATGTATTTTTCAGATGACGAACAGCAAGTGTAATACTATACGCTGTAAGTCATGAAGGGTTTTTCTGGTATGCAAGTATTTAAATGGCGAAATATATCCTCCATATTTTTTTGTTCTGACAGATCGTGAATATCATGAAATTGTTTAGCTCTAATCTAACCAGCGCATAGTCATGCATTCCATGTGAAAATCCCAGTCTTGCGTTTCTAGTCTTACGTTGTCATTGAATGACTCTTAATTTGGACTCCACGACTAGGTAAGGGTAAGGGTTGGCACCCTCATGATAATGATTTAGACATGCAGGGGATTTCTGTAAGACGTGAAGATTTGATGAAGTGCATTTGTCCTGGGCAAATTGAGACGTTCATCCACCAAATAATGACAGGAAACGAAAGTCAAATTTAAATAGCTCCCTTTACCATGTCCTTATAGCAGGAAACACTGGCCCCATGGTCCAGTGGATAGAGCGACTGCGTAAGGTTGCTGGTTCGATCCCCAGTCAAGTCACACCAGCCGACGTTGAAATGTGGGACGTGTTATCCAGCATGTATCAGATACTAGGATATTTACAGAATGAAACACGGACTGGGGGCTCGGTTAGTCTGTCTCACAGTCCCCGAACCACATTTTTCCCCTACTGCCAAGCCCTCCCTGCAATGCTAAAGCAAGCCCTCAAGATTTCCCCAGGTTCTGAATCTCCCATCTCACTGAGGTTCATTTCAATTTAAATAGGTTTAATTGTTTACTATCAAAATTATATACATGTATATTCAGAGACTAAGCGTTAGTCTAGGGGTTCGGATAGACTTGCACAAGTCTCCAATGTAAAAATGAATAGTTTAAATGATAATTTCTAAAAAATAATAAAGAGTAGACTGAGGTCCTGTCCGCTTATCTAGACTTGCCTCTTTAAAGGCTAGATTTACTATTATCCATGGGCTCAACATTCAGTACAGCCTTGGAGCAAGGATACCGTTTCAGGTCCTCCCTAGATTGTCATCTAAACCCAGATTCAACAATATATATCTACAATCTATGTAACTCTGAATACCAACGACTTGTCCAATCATTCTAGACCCTTTCTAATTTCGGAGTGAGCTCACCTTTGTGAACTGCAGTATCCGTGTTAAATTGGTCATGGTATCTCAGTGCGCTTGCGCTTCATAAGTTGGGACTCGTGCAAGCAGCCACACACACGGACATGAATGTCCCTTTGTCAGTGCAATAATCTTAAACGCGACTTTAAACCTAATTTTACTCACCTTAAAAGAGAAAGTTGAAAGTCTGGAAATGGTTACATGTGCGTTGTTGGAGGTAAAGAGCACCTCAAGGTGGTCCTGCCTTTAAAAATCTGATCGCTATGGCAACACCGAGTCCGAGGCTTGGATGCTCCTTGATTGAGGACTATCTACATATAACGCAATAAAAAGCAGCTGATATGTCACTGATAAAAATATCCAAATCCAGTAACTTCAGCACATGGAAATATTGAAAGAGAAAAATCTATTGCTGCTGTAGTAAAATATTTTATAGATATAGACCAGACTGAATGGACGTCTGATGTGGAACTCGACTGCAGACCTACATCCATGAATGTATGTCAGACACAACAGTCCGTGAACAGTTGTGAAGGAATATAAGGCAAAGTTCGATTGACACCAGTGGCAGTTGTTTGAATATAGGTTTTGTAGTGAACTGTTCAATTCACTCTTTTCTTAATGAGCCTGGACATGCAATGGCTTTTAGACTGACGCTTTGTCTCTGAATATATATAATTTTGATTGTAGCAATTAAACCCATTCAAATTGAAAAGGAACCCTGCATTCGTAACTTCTCGCCTCTTTCCGTGACTCATGCCGAAATGACACGAGTAGTTACGAATGGGAACCCCGGTGAGATTGGGGAACCTAGTCCAGCATTTAACCAGACGTTTTAGCACTCACTATACCAAGGTGTCGATGTAGGCCTTGGCTGGAATACGAGTTTATTTATATGAACTAGGGGGAACCTGAAGAAAGCTAGACATGCATCATTAGGGCTTTAGCATTGCAGGGAGGACAAGGTTGTAGGGAAAATAATTTGTTGAGGGACTTTGAGAGAGACCACAGGCAAACTATAGCGCAAACAGGGTTGCGCAACAAAGAGAAAATGACCCGTCTTCGTATATGCGAGCGAAGCGAGCTCGCATATACGAAGACGGGACATTTTCTCTTTGTTGCGCAACCCTGTTTGCGCTACAGTTTGCCTGTGGACAGACTAAATGGCTTTTTTGTGACACTGGACGTGTATATGTATAACCTGATTGTCAAGTACTCTTAATTCGGATCTAAAGCTGAACTTTTCCATCGTATTGTGTTTACAGTTGCCCAAAATCGCTCATGCCTTCAAACATTGCCTCCACAACCTTGATCTTATTGAAACTAGGAATCGTAATTGTAAACGTATCCAACTTAAACGTATCATAAACATATTGTTGACGTAATATCTGCTTAGCTCCAGATCCCACACAACCCGAAGTAAGATAATTATGGTTGTTGTTCAAAGCGGCACACAGCAATATTTGAATTTTATGACTGCGGACATTATGTAATCGGACTCTTCTCGCTGAGGTCAAAGGTAAAATCCAGTAGTGTTGTTGGATCAAAAGCCAGCTTAGTCAGAAAATATGAACTGTAATGCTACATGTGAGTTAACTCAATAAGAGCTAATATGCGATTTTACTCATATTTGAATATTAACTTGTTAAAGGTCACATGCAACCAAAAAATCAAACATAATTAATACACAATTATCACTTATTCATGACATATAAAATACATTGTTGGTTATGAAAAAACATATAAACAAAAATTATAAGCGTACAATCGCAAATCAAATATAAACATGCAATATTGTGTGGAATTCGGTTTCACTTCCCAAATGAAACGAAGCAGCCGGGATAGTGAGATAATCCCATTGTTTTGATTAGAATTAATACTTCAAAGATTTATCTTATAAAAGTAAAAAGATTATAATTAGGTCTGTTGTGGTTGCACTCAAACATAATTTTCTCAAAGTATATATACGCCACTGTTTTGATAAGTGTAGGCGAAATTGTAGGCGATATGAGACAGGCCGCCCAGTCAGAGCGGTTCATTTGCTATTGTGTGTGTATATAGAGATGTTGGGTTTTGTAAATACATGCTCATTTTTTGTGTATAACATTTTGCAATCAACAGACATCATAACATGTCATGTGTTCAAGTATCACACCTACCTGTCTGTGTAATTACATAATGTGACAGAGACCGAACTCGGGCCATAAATCAATGCATTTTGTTTATGGTGTATAGCCTGATTGGTGTTAAGTTCAAATTGCATGTGGTCAGTGATAGCAGCTGTGTATTGAATATTGTCATTAGCAGACAGGCAGGCAGACACACAGGTGTCAATAAAACAAGACATTGAGTTTTGTCTGTGACAACGACATATCTATATCACAGTTAGAAATACTGTCAACGCTAAATAATGACATTGCTTTTAAGTATCGAACTGAGAAAGTGACTCGGTAAGAAGAACGTGTGGTGAAATAGACAAATGAAATTATATAAACAGTTTATTTACTGTCATAACATATAAAAAGCTCGCGCCTGTGAGATATCAACAAAACATTAGAAAAATAGCTCACACCAAAGCCTTCACCGAGTATTCACCGGACAACCCGCTTCCAAGCTGCGCGAACCTATTTCACTGCGCACGTGCTATAAGCGCAGCCCAGCTGTTGAAACCCGTTTTCCCCAGAAAAGTCGGGGGGAAAATTAGTGAAACGTTTGAACTCCGATTTCGCGCGGTTTTTTTTCATCGCGTTATTTTTCAATTTTATAAGTTGAATTTGCATTTTTGACGATTTGTTTCGGTAAGTCCATACCGAAAGGTATCAGAATCTGCAAAGTTGTGTTTTACGTTGCATGTGACCTTTAATCAATTAATCCAATCACATGAAGGGCATATAAGGCACCTTCTTGTATCATGTATTCGAAATGGTGAATGCACAGCAAGACTACAAGTTCATTACTACGTCCGCTGGTGGTATATATGTATGTACAGAAGGTTTCACATTCTGAGTAAACAATCGGAAAACTGGTTCTTATGGAAATGCAAGTGCCAAAATTTTAACGATTAATAAAATCATCACTAAACTTCCTACCACTACAAGCATAATTTTGGCAATAATGGTATCAAGGTTAGTGTTAACTACTGTGCAGAATGTATGTACTTAATGTATTCTACACAGTGGGGGTTACACACACACACGCACGCACGCACGCACGCACGCACGCACACACGCACCATTTTGAAAATGACTAAAGACCACATTGAAGTTAATGTTTTGCAATGGCGGAGCCAAGGTGGGGTTCAGGGTGATTATTATATAAGTATTAAGAACACGTTGAACCCATAAAAGACTGGTGTCCTTAGACCTTGTTTACCCTTGACT